GGGGCGGCAGCTTATGAAAGATACCTGATACCTAGGTGTGTTCATTAGAGGAGACATGTATGAGAGAAGGCAATGAAACTTGGAGATAAATGCTCTCTAGAATCATATCTGTACTTCAATTAGCGCTGATTAGACGATGAGTTGATTACACTGATCAAACAATTTTATCATTAAGATGACATTCGTGACAACCTGTACTGACTCAATATCTGCTCTGAACAAATATTAGGTGTTTAGGCAAAGTGAACTAATCCGATACCGTTAGGTTCCTCTGCTTAAATGCAACTTAATGGTCCAATTGACCACTAAGCAGTTGAGCTTTGGGTAGAATAGATAAGCATTCATTCCCTGAGTAATTGTGTGATTCAAACATATATTATCAAGGCTGACCATTTAGTACTGAGTAATTCTGTCTTCGCATGGTCTCAAACAATTTATTTCGAAAATGCATCTAATGTTTCAGTGCTTGCTGTATGAAGGATTAAACTCAGGCATTCTATGTACAGAGAATCTGAGGATTTTAGTTTAAATTGTGTTGCGAATTCAGATGTGGCAAATATTTTTCTCATACAAAGAGTGGAATGCTATTGAATCGGAAGGAAATAATTTAGACTCGCAAAGTACATACCCAATTAATTAAAACAAACTTGTGTAGACTAGTTTTGGGATCAAGTAATCGACAGAATGCATACATGATTTTTCCGCTATTCAATTCTTCTTTCAATTCTTCAATTCCTCCATCTAGCGGAAAAAATATTTTGATTACTACATTAGACATTGGACAAAAACTGCAAAGCGTAGTCTAAAAAGAAAATATATTAAAAGTATTTCCCTTCAGTTATTATAGGTAAAAATTGAGAAAAGGAAGCCTTTAAGTTACCAATTTTTTTTTAACTATGATGGCTCAACGTTTACTTTTACCTCTTTACAGAGTGATTGAAGATTCAAATAATGAAGAAATTTTAAGGCAAAAATTGGAACTAATTTTTGCTCCATTGAACTTCCTGCACCCCTAGTTTGATGAAGAATTCGTTGGTAACAAGTTTCAGAAATGAACAATATTAAGGTGAATCTAGGGTTCCATTAGGGATAATTTAAGATTAGAGATAGCGCCACCAGTCACCACTGAGAATTTCCCTTTCCTTCGACGATTACTAAAATAATATTCCTCAAATTACAAAAAGCTGATCCACAAGATATAGATTATTTTTTGCTTGATTTTTTGAGCCAAAAATATTGGCAATTAGAATTCCAAGCGCAGAGAATGTGCAGCTGAAACTTTCAGCTCAGCAGCGGCAGCCGAGCGCGCATCCGAATCCCTCATGTTCTGTCTGTCTCTCTCTCTCCCATTGCTGCAATGGGAATTACTTTCCACTGTAGTTACAACTTTATTTTTGGGAATTTTGAGAAGATTTATTTACTGAATGTTTCTCAAGTATGTTGCTGTATCCCCTGAATCCCTATTCTTGAATAAGTTACGGTTTTTATTATTTTGGCAAATATATACAGCTATTCTGGGCAGCGCAACATGGTGGCCAAATTACGAAGTTCGAAGCCTGGATTCACCTTAACATTATAGATTTTGTGCACATCACAGCTTTCTTAATGCCTTCATATCTTACAGTGGGAGTCTTCAAGTCACAGGTTGTTCATCTGGCATTATTTAGCATAGAAGGAACCTCTGAAGGTACTTCGTCTGGAAGTTTCACAACAGCTTAGGACTTGATGGAGAAAGGGCACTTCTCCATTGGAGTTTCAAAGTCGCCTCTAATGATCTCTTTCTCGTGAGGAACTTACTGGGTCATTGAGTTTGAGATTTAAGAGAAAGAAATTGGTAGATTAGGAAGAATATTCAGTTAAAATCCATCCCTCAGCATTAATTTTTTTTTCCCTATGAAGATTAAAGTGTTAAAGGGAATTTTGAACTCTGCAACTGTGAAGTGCCCTTCTTGGACTCAAACCCTCAATTTTATCCAGCACTCATGTTCATAATATCTACCTACTTAGATTTGCTAATAGTTGATAAGAGCAATTGACAGCGAAAATACTAACCTCCTTTCCCAACTATTACCAAGTCATTGCTGAGTCCTTCATAACTTAGGAGTACCCTGAAACAGAGACGCAACCATTTATCATCAAAATTAAATATAGACTGAAAATAACATTGGCGAAGGTAATTGAAAGTTTGGATGCATTTACAATACGGGCGGAAGCCATGGGGCCCAAGTTTCCTTATCTTTATTCCTTAAAATGAACTTAAAACTTTCTATTTCATAACAGTATTTCTCTTGCTTCTCTTAGACTTACGGGACTGTCTAAAGGAGGTCCTTGCCTTTCCTATTCCCCATAGAGTACATAGAGTTGTAATGTAAATGGGAGAGCTGGCTCTATGTTCTGTTTGACGAGTTCTAAGCCCAGTCACTTTTTCGATACAAGTTCAATCCAAAATGGTGGTGTGGAAATTCCTATCTACTTTGTTTACATCAGACGGCAGGGTACCCGTGATCATGTATTGAAAAAGTGACCCAGAATCACATCAGAGTCTTGAAATTCGGGACCTGGAAAATGCTTAGAAGTGGCCCCAGCCCACTCATTTACATTGCGACTTTAAGTGCTTTATGTACCTATGTTATTCCCCCACAATGTACGCTAAAAATTGCTTTGAATTGCGTTTAAGAGGTATTAAAATTTCAAATTACATGGAAGGAGACCTTGCAGATCCCCCTTTGCAAGGTAAGTTTACCACTAAACTCCCCCATCTCTGAAAGGTCCACTCAGGGAGAGCTTGCACCAGAGCCTGCGTCAACGGGCCTAAAGATTCCAAATCCAGCCCTGAGCATCGATATCTTAAACAGTTAAGAGCTCGCATCATGAATACTACACTAGAGATTTCCTACAATAAATTTCTATAATTCTACGGGTGCCCGATTTTAAATCAATGAGAAGGATTTGAATGTTATAAATCAGTAAAAAGCTGCAGATTTGTTTGATGCATTTCACTGAGGGAGGCCTTCAAAGTATCTGCAACCAGCGCAGAGTCGCAATGCAAGACGTCTGCTATTGCCGACTGCCTGGACGGGAGAATCTTAGCAGTTTATCTCACCTTGGAGCAGCCCTCTAGGAATTAAAAACCAAAGTACTAAAATTTGTCCAATTCTAATTGAAGAGAAGCCCTCACAATGTGGGCGTGCTGATAAAAGTGAGGTTAAGTTCTTCTCCTTAACTAACTTTGGTAATGTGTTTTCTTGGTCTATAAAAGAACATGCTAAATGACAGCAAAAAGTCTATTTGAGAAAGTTTAACTACGATGGTAACAGCATGTAAGAAGTCCAAATACATGAGGATACTTTGAACAAAATCTAGAAACTTCCGCGACTCAGCAGATGATGATTAACAGCTATCTAAATGACTTTCAATTAAAGTGATGATAAAATATGAAAGATACTTTGTCTGACACTCCATTTGAAAGACTATAAAACGCACAAGGTAAAAGATGATATTCGAGGTGAGCATTAAGTTATTATCGGGTATCCATGAGAGACTGCAAGGCAAGCGATAATGTTGAGAGATTTTAGATTTACCAGTCAGTTGCAGTTTTATCATCAACCACTTCTTTCCAAGCAGCAAGTAGGTCAGCTTTATGCTTTTCAAAATTAACACTCATCTTGATGTAATTGACATGAAAATTGTGCCGAAAACGTGAAAAATCACACTGTAAACAAAACGCGAGGCGGACCCCTTTGATCACTTTTCTGAGAACTACAGTGTTGCCAATGATGCTACAGTAGATAATAGAAAAAAATGTCCAACCTGACATTTGGCATAGCTGGATTCAGCGTATAGATAATTGTATGCGCACATAATGAAGGCGCAACACCGACGATTTCATGTATTTTTCGCGTTTGTGATCAAACTTCAAAGGTTTGTGAAATCACACATTGAGGACTGCATTTTGCAATTTGGAACTATAAATTCTGGCTCCTCTGGAAAAACACTCATGTGCATAGGGAGTCTAATGGCACGTACGTTCTTTTTAAACCGGGCTAGAATTTATAGTTCCAAATTGCAAAATGTAGTCCGATTGTGACAGAATTGGATAGCATTTTGCACGAATTATCTAGGCAGTACGGTAGGTTTTCAGGAGAGCAGCTTTTGCAAAAACCATTGGCGTTTTTCCTCAAAACGATCAATGTTGCGGTTTGATGGTTCATTTTATAGCTATGGAGTTTTTTTAACACCTTGTGTTGACAGATTCTTCGAAAACATCACACCGTTGCCAAAAATTACAAAAAAAGGCTATAGTTCCTTATTGCAAAATGAAGAATCCGGGGAAGCTCATTTTGCAATTAGGAACTATAAAATTGTTTTAGCACTGACTGCATAGGGGAGACGACCCTGGTGTCACTATCACACACTGGAGGGTTAACCGCCACGGCACCTGAGAGATTCCTTACAATACTTTAAATAGTGGCGATTTGGCATAGGTACTCGCAAAAAAATGCTCCGCGTCTGCATTTGATAGCGGTAAGAATCATTTCCACGCAGTCGTAGTCAATAATTCGTGTGACACTGGATTCATTCATGCCAAATACGACAGCTGAATATTTGATTCCCGCGGTCAGTTTTCCTCCATTAAAATCCATGACCTATACAAATCTTGACGGGGGGACTAGGTCAGTGTCCAGCTAATTGAAAAACACGAAGGACAAGTGAAATAAAGGAAAGGCCTCGATTTTTCCTTGGAGCCAGATCATAGAATAATTACCGCTCTTTGAATCTAATTTATACACTTGACTACAGTTAATGAGTCAATGATTTTGCTACTATGTTGCAGAGAAAACGCGAAGCATCTTTCTCTTCCAATAATCTACTCCGATGAAATGGTTACGGACGTAATATTTGGCTGAAAAGAACTATGTGCAAATTCATTGAATCAAAAGAAACTACAGAATAAAGTAATTTTGTGGAGTAGAGGAGGAGATGATAGGATAGAATGGGATAGAACAGATGAATTACTTGAATTTCCTCATTTCAAGCGCGTAAAAGTGCGTGCTTACAAAATTTTGAACATTCCTCTTACACCTAAGTTTGTATGACTGATAAAGGGATCTTCAAGATCAATGATGTATTCACTATCAGCTAATAGACTTTGACGGTTAGAATCCACGACTGGGTTCGCACAAGAACTTTTGTAATGTTATGATAATGCTATTTCTACGTTTTTGAAGGCAAGAAATAATTTTCTTTTTTTTCTTAATTTTTACCTTTTTATATTGTGACATACTAGCGCTCTCTCTAGTACTGTGCAACACCTCTGTTGTGAAGTAGTTGCTTCAGGCGCCGCCGCACGACGGGCGGGCGGCCAGCTCGAAACGCGCATTGGCGCCAGGGTCGGACTGACGCACCTCTGAGGGCGCAGACCCTTAGCCGGCGAAGGGGGCGCAATTTGATACTTTGCTCAGGAGTATGCAGGAACACCCCCCCCCCCTCTCTCTCTCTCTCTCTCTCTCTCGGAAAGGCCGACATTTTTTTAAAAATCAAACTCTTCTAAATAGAATTTTGACGATATTTTCAGGTTCAAAATCGATTAATCTTACAAAAGAAAATTCTGAAATTGAACATAATAATAAAAGTATCGGAAGAATTGTGAGATGAAAAGTGTAAAATCGATCAATCAAAGAAAAGCTATTTGAGGCATCCAAGCGCCATTATCTCTGGAAGAAACAAGCCAGAGCGAAAGAGATCCAAAATCATGCCTTTGAAAAGTGGAAGGTGGAAAATGAGGGTGACAAGAAAACAAGAAATACTTCAGACCCTGTATATTGCATAAATAACTGACACAATACATTTTAAATTTAAATTTTCAAATGTTTAAACAAAGTGGGAACAGATTAAGGGGGTGGCCACATGGGCTGCGGCCCATGGCAGCAAATTTTGCAATTTTTTTAAAAGTAGGTATAAAAAAAATGGGAGTCAGGAAAAAAAATTATCAAAGAGAAAAGGGGACAAAATCTCCCTTTCCTAAGGGAGATTTTGTCTCCCTGTCTTTTCCTCCTTATATATATATATATAAAGTCGCTGTACAACGCGCTCTGGCGTTCTACGACACCCAAACGCCACATATGCCTGTCTTCCCAGAGGTTATCGGGCAACTGACACCGCAACATCTCTTCGTCAACGCCCTGCCGCCAACCCTTTACGGGACGTCCCCGTCGCCTCTTCCCAGGTGGTACCCAATCCAAAACTTGTTTGGGCAACCTCTCCTCCGACATTCTTTGCACATGTCCATACCAGCATAACTGCCTGGACATGACGTCGTGCACGATATCTTTCTCAACCTTCATCACCTGGCGAATTCTCTCATTACGGACACGGTCCCCGTCTCGAAATGCCGGCAGATCGCCGCCAAAAATCCATTTCAGTTGCCCTCAACATTTCTTGCGTTCTTTTCGTCAAAGGCCACACTTCACTACCATAGAGCACGATACTTTTAACGATGG